GCTAGGAGTGGAATTGCTGGGTCATGTGGTAACTCATTGTTTAACTTTTGAGGAACTGCCAACTGTTTCCCAAAGTGGATTAACAATTTTATATTCCTGCCAGTAATATACGAGAGTTCCAATTTCTTTATATTCTTGCCAGCATTTGTTATTTTCCATGTTCTTTTTTAAAATTATTACCATCCTAGTGGATGTAAAGAGGTATCTCATTGTGGTTTTATTTGCATTTCCCTAATGACTAATAATGTTGAATATCTTTTCATGTGCTTATTGGCTGTTTGTATATCTGCTTTGTAGAAATGTCTATTCAAATCCTTACCTATTTTTAAGTTGGATTATTTGTCTTTTTACTGTCGAGTCGTAGGTGTTTTTTTTAATCTATTCTGGCTGCTAAACCCTTATTAGATACATGATTTGCAAATATTTTCACCCATCCTTTGGGTTGTCTTTTCACTTTCTTAATAGTGTCATTTGCTGCACAAAAGTTTTGAATTTTGATGAAGTCCAGTTTATCTATTTTTTTCCTTTGTTGCTTGTGCTTTAGGTGTCACACCTATGACACCATTGCCTAATCCAAAGGTATAAAGATTTACACCTATGTTTTCTTCAATGAGTTTTATAGTTTTAGCCTTTACATTTAGGTCTTTGATCCATTTTGAGTTAATTTTCATATCGGGTGTGAGATAGAGGTTCAGATTCATTCTTTTGCATGTGGTTATCAAGTTGTCCCAGCACCATTTATTGAAGACTGCTCTTTCCCCTTTAAATTGTCTTGTCGAAAACCCTTGTCGAAAATCAATTGACTATAGATGTATGGGTTTATTTCTGGACTCTCAATTCTATCCTATTGATGTGTTTGGCTATCCTCATGTTAGTACCACAGTTTTGATTATTATAGCTTTGTGGTAAGCTTTGAAATGGAGAAGTGCGAGTCTTCAACTTTGTCCTTATTTTTTCAAGATTGTTTTGACTATTTGGTTCCCTTAAATTTCTATACAGATTTTAGGATCAGCTTGTTAGTTTGTGCCCAAAAAGGCAGTTGAAATTTTGATAGAGATTGCATTGAACCATAACAATATTAAGTCTTGCAATCCATGAGTGCAAGATGTCCTTCCATTTATTTATGTTTTTTTCAATCTCTTTTAATGATGTTTTATAGTTTTCAGTGTATAAGTCTTATACTTCTTTTGTTAAATTTATTCCTAGGTGTTTTATTCTTTTGGATGCTCTTGTAAATGGAGTTGTTTTCTTTCTTTTTTTTTCTTTTTATAGTTTTTAAAACATTTATTTATTTAATTTATTTTTGACTGCATTGGGTCTTTGTTGCTGTGCACGTGGGCTTTCTCTAGTTGCGGCGAGTGGGGGCTACTCTTCGTTGCGGTGCGTGGGCTTCTCATTGCGGTAGCTTGTCCTGTTGCGGAGCACGGGCTCTAGGCACACAGGCTTCAGTAGTTGTGGCGTGCGGGATCAGTAGTGGTTCGCAGGCTCAGTAGTTATGGTTCGCGGGCTCTAGAGTCCAGGCTCAGTAGTTGTGGCACACGGGCTTAGTTGCTCCTCGGCATGTGGGATCTTCCTGGACCAGGGCTCGAACCCGTGTCCCCTGCATTGGCAGGTGGATTCTTAACCACTGAGCCACCAGGGGAGCCCCATAGCGTTGTGTTCTTTTTTTTCTTTTCTTTTTTTTTTGTGGTACATGGACCTCTCACTGTTGTGGCCTCTCCCGTTGCAGAGCACAGGCTCCGGATGCGCAGGCTCAGCGGCCATGGCTCACGGGCCCAGCCGCTCTATAGCGTTGTCTTCTTAATTTCATTTTCAGATTGTTTATTGCTAGTATATGGAAATACAACTGATTTTCATATGTTGGTCTTGTGTCTTGGAACCTTGCTGAACTTGTTTATGAGCTCTAATAGTTTTGTGTGTATGTAATCCTTAGGGTTTTCCGTATATGAGATCATTTCATCTGCAAATAGAAATAGTTTTTCTTGCTTAATTGGCTTGTCTAGAACGTCCAGTACAGTGTTGAATGGAAGTGGTGAGAGTGGAATCCTTGTTTCTCGTTTTAGGGAGAAAGCTTTTAGTCTTTTAACATTAAAAACAATGTTAGCTGTGGATTTTTCATAGATGCCCTTTATCAGGTTAAGGAAGTTCCCTTCTATTTCTAGTTTGTTGAATGTTTTTATTATGAAAGAGTATTGGATTTTGTCAAATGTTTTTTCTGCATCTATTGAGATGATCATGCAGTAATTATGCTTTATTTTATTAATATGTTGTATTACATTGATTGCTTTTCATATGTTAAATCATCTTTGCATTTCTGGGATAAATCTCACTTGTCTTGGTGTATAATCCTTATTTTATATGCTACCAGATACTGTTGGCTGGTACTTTGTTGAGGCTTTTTGTATCTATATTCATAAGGGATATTAGTCTATAGTTTTCTTTTCTTATAATGTCTTTGTATGGTTTTGTATCAAGGCAGTACTGACCTTACAGAATGAGTTGGGAAGTGTGCCCTTTTCTTCTATTCTTTGGAAGAATTTGTGAAGGATTGGTGTTAATTCTTTAAACATTTGGTAGCATTCATCAGAGAAGCCATCTGGTCCTGGGCTTTTCTTTGTGAGGGTTCATTTTTTTAATGCAAGGTGCAGAAGAGTATTTATGGTAGAATCCCATTTGAGAGAGAGAGAGAAGGAGAGTCTTTTTAAGGCTATATTTATGTTATATTAATACAGAAAAGTTTTGAAAAGATATACAAGCAGCAAAGGTTATCGTTGGGTCATGAGATGGAACTTGTCTTCTCTTCCTTTTTTTTTTTTTTTTTTTTGTGGTACACGGGCCTCTCACTGTTGTGGTGTCTCCCGTTGTGGAGCGCAGGCTCAGCGGCCATGGCTCACGGGCCCAGCCGCTCCGCGGCATGTGGGATCCTCCCGGACTGGGGCACAAACCCGCGTCCCCTGCATCGGCAGGCGGACTCTCAACCACTGCGCCACCAGGGAAGCCCGTCCTCTCTTCCTTTTTTTATGATTATGAACGTGTATTGCTTTAAATTAAAAAACAGAACAAAACCAAAAACCTACTTAAAATGGCTAGCATTTGACCATTTGCTTTTTTCACCTGCATGGTGAGATGCTAGGGCTGTGTACTTGCCACTGACCTTGTGTCCTTAGGAGCTCAGTCTAGTAGGCCCCTACATCTCTCTCCAGCTTCACAGTCTGCTGCTCCCCCTCTCTATTTTATCCTCCATCAACACTGAATTACTTATCAATTTCCTGAAAACACCCACAGTTCTGTGCTACTGTACCTTTGTAATCCTATGTTGGTCCCTTTCCTTGCCAACCCTTCCTCCTTTATCTGCCCAATTAATCTCTCTTAATCTCCGCTTATCCTTTAAAACCCCTTCCAAATGTTTAGTTACCTGCCTTTGTGAACACCTCCCAACCCACTCTCTTCCCTTGCATTTCCCACCCAAGGGGGGAAAAATCTCTCTCTCCTGCTGCCTCATACATTACGCATATTTTTGTTACTGAACTTTGTATCTACCCTGCATAATAATTACTAGTTCACATATATGTCTTCCCTAAAAGTACAATTTTATTCAATCCTGTATCCAAGGAGCTTAGCACAATGCTTGGCACAAAACATGCTCAAAAAGATTTTAATTGACTTGAGGTCATGCGACAGGAAAAGGCATTCTGGGTAGGATGAGCAATGAGAGCCAAGACCAAAGTTTAAATGACTATAACATGTACTGGTTTGGCAAGACAGGAGGATTCATGCCAGGAATGATTTTGGCAAGGCTGATAATGGAGGCTCTTAAAAGCCAGAGTAGACTTGGTAGGTAAATACTGGCTGAATGAAGAACCCTCCTCACCTCCTTTGAGTTTTTGCTCAAATCTCTCTTCTCGGTAGGCTTACCCTGACCACCTGAGAGGGATAGACTCGGAGTTTGGGGTTGATAGATGCAAACTATTACATTTAGAATGGATAAACAATAGGGTCCTATTGTGTAGCACAGGGAACTATATCCAATCTCGTGGGATAAACCATAATGGAAAAGACTATTTTAAAAAAAAAGAATGTGTATATGTGTATAACTGAGTCACTTTGCTGTACAGCAGAGATGGGCACAACATGGTAAATCAACTATACTTCAAAAAAAAACCACACCAAACCTGTCATCTCTCCATTCACCCCATCCCCTGACCCCTGCACTCTAGAGCCTCCTTTCCCTGATCATCTTCCTTTTTCCATAGCACTTATCACATTTGGTGTAATTTACTTACTCATTATGTTTTTTATTTATTATCTGCCTCCCCCCTTAGAGTATAAGCTCCTCACACTAGGGTGGCCTTGTTTACTGATACTTCCCAAGCACCTAGAACGTTGCCTGGCATATAGTAGGCACTGAGTAAATATTTGTTGAGTGAATGAATCCTAAATTAATAAACTTAGGGCTTCCCTGGTGGCGCAGTGGTTGAGAGTCCGCCTGCCGATTCAAGGGACATGGGTTCGTGCCCCAGTCCGGGAAGATCCCACATGCCGTGGAGCGGCTGGGCCCGTGAGCCATGGCCACTGAGCCTGCGCGTCCAGAGCCTGTGCTCCGCAACGGGAGAGGCCACAGCAGTGAGAGGCGCGTGTACCGCAAAAAAATAAAAAGGGAAAAAAAAAAAAAAAAAAACTTAAGTATCTTGTCCAGAGCTGGCATAAAGTAGTTTACGTATAATTCAAATGTCTTGTTTCTGAAAGGAAAGTTTATTCTGTAAAACTGCTGAGATAGTGTCATCTATTTGTAATGTAATCTGGGGCAGGGAGGGGGGAGGGAGGTGAGGGAAAGAGGTCTCTCTTGCCTTAATATTGCCTGAAGGTTTCTTGCCCTAGACACCAAACTGGGAAGTAAAACTTACAAGTACATTTGAGTTTATTTCTTGCCTAGAAAAATGTTGTTACATGTGATGATTAATTCCCATGCTTTAATAATTTCTCTCTCTCTTTTTCCACAGACCTTTGTAGTATTAAACAGAGGGAAAACTCTCTTCAGATTTAGTGCCACGCCTGCCTTGTACATTTTAAGTCCTTTTAACCTGATAAGAAGAATAGCTATTAAAATTTTGATACATTCATATCCTTTTCTGCAAATGTGGAGTGAGTGCGGCAGTTGCATGGTCGCTGGTGTGTGTTTCTGAATGTGGACAACTTAATTGTATATTAAGTATTTTACCAATAGTGTAGGTGACTATCCCACCAGTTAGAAGTTTTAAGAGTGACTTCTGCTGAATCCTGAGTTGAGCTTCAGCAAATTCTTTTTTCTTAGGATGATGTCATGGGAGTCTGGAATTTTGTGGATATCATTGAGAGCAACAGATTAAGATGGTAACCTTTTACCGAAGTCTTACTTTTTAAAGCACTCAGACTTCAAGAGTTAGATTGTTCAGCTTCTTATATATTAAAGTCTATATTAGAACTTTTGAAAAGCTACTTCTTGAGTTACAAATAATTGAATGAGTGTTTTAGAGATCTGCCTTGAATATTTTTGATTTCTTGAACAGTGAGCTTAGAAAGTATCTAAGATAGTTTCTCAGATTAAATGGCCTCCTTGGTACAGAGGTTTAGATCTAGATTGCAAGATTGCCATGAATCTGTTTTGGTATTTTTGCTCCCCTTAAACAGAAAATGCCAATTTATTCATGTGGCTTGACTTTTATGTCTTATTAATATAGGAGAGTATATGACAGATGAAAAATTATGTGATGGGGTTAGCAACTTTGCATAGTGACTTTAAACTTTCATGGTTGGCCTTCAGTTTGACAGTACTTAGTCCCATACTTCAGAGTTTTTGTACCCTCCAAGTAGGATGAGGAAACCAGCAGTTGCTACTTTGTAAATAGGTTTGCTAAGCTTTTGCACATTTTATTAACAGTAAGAACTTCGCAACCTGGTCTGGAATCTTTGGTTTACAAGCAACATAGATCTGAAATCTAAAGGTTTATAAGTAAATAAACAACTCACAATGGACTTCTTCCCTTTTTGCTGGATCAGAAGATGGTGTTTTTTCTCTTCTAGCCAGAACATGTTGTTATTCCCTGAAGAAAAATACAGCTGTAGTGAAGAAAAAAATCCAGCTGTAAGAAGTAGTTTTTCTTTTTAAAACTCCACTAATAGAATGAAGAGAGTGAATGCCATTAGCAAGAGAGAGTGAATTAGCAACAAATGAGATATGGCTTCTGTGCTTATGAAAGTGACAGTTTGAGTTCGAGTAACTCATATCGACCTGAAGCCGTTTAATTTTTCTCAGTAGACAAGAGCAGGAAGGGCTGAGAGAGATCCTGGATGGAATTAAAATGGCAACAATGATTTGCTACCCATAAACATTCCCAGGCACTTTCAGAATGACCAGATGAACTTGCCTCATTACCTAACTGTTAGGAGTACGGTGGTGCAGATGTCCTTAAAATCCCTACCCAATGTACCATAACCGGTTTCCCAGATTGGACAAATTCAGCATACATTGACTGTTGCCTTGCCCCACAAGAACAATCAGACCTTTGGAAGACTATTAAAAAAAAGAAAAATCATTAATGACATGCACATTTCCAAATAACGGGTAATGCAAGATAATTAACAATAAATGACTACTGAATAATATAGACTAGGTTTAATTATTTTCTCACCTGATGACTTTGGCATCTGGTAGACTACAAGATTTCTGGTTATTGGGCAGCGAGGTATTCAGAGGCGTAAGTGGTAAGAGGGAGAAATGTTTATCCAAAAGGAGTAGAACAGTGGCAGTGCTTTTGAAAGAAAGAGAGTGGCCATGCTGCTGTGCCCACTCACATTCTCTGGCCAGGTGTGGGTACACATGGTGGCACTCTGTTCATGGTGATGACCACAGTTTTCATTATCACCTCGCCTTTTCCTGCTCTCTGTGCTTTGTCTCCTTTCAGGTTACTGATTTAATTCCTGCGATACCCAATGCGATATGTGTTTGCTTCCTGAGGATAAAAACTGGCCAGATTTTGTATATTCTCCCTTGACTTTTTTCTACAGTGTTTAGCATGATCATTATGTGCACTATTTTGACCAACTGTGTATTCATGACTTTTAGTAACCCTCCTGAATGGTCGAAGAATGTGGAGTAAGTAGCTCATTTATTTATTTTTCTGCCAGCTTGTTTTAAGGATTTTTAGTCACTGAATCTTGCACTGCACAGCTTATCCACCAAGGAAGAAAATTATTGCCCACTTTTCATGTCACAAAGATGTGTGAGGATACATGTGGAATTTAAGAAATATCCTTAGAGGTCAACTCTAGAAAGAGAAAGTATGCCCTGGAAGTTACTGCTCATCACCTCTGCCCTTTCCTGTGTCAGCCAATGCTTTGACTTGCTGCCCCATCACCATCTTGTACCCTCAGTTCCTGATGATACTGCCTTCTTCTCCAACATTAGCTTTCCCTTTCTTTTTGACTTGTCTCAAGTTAAAATTAGCTGTGGGGCCTCCTCGCCTGGTTCAAAATGATCATGTGCTAGATGGCAATACAGAGTTTTTCCTTTGCAATACCCGTCAGGGCCCAGTGCAACATTCCAGAGTTCTTGGTTTGTACGTTGCAGTAATTTTCATTTGAAGCATCCCTTTCTCTTCCTCACTTCCTTTCTGCTGCATTGGCTGTGTTCTTTCTGTTTTGTCTCTGTTAGTTGAAGCCACCCGTCGGCAAGTGTTATCTTAAAAGATTCATTTAAAGTTTCTGTCTGTTCAGAAATTACCTCAAGATATCCATTTCTTTGACAGGTACACGTTCACAGGGATTTATACATTTGAATCACTAGTGAAAATCATTGCAAGAGGTTTCTGCATAGATGGCTTTACCTTTTTACGGGATCCGTGGAACTGGTTAGATTTCAGTGTCATCATGATGGCGTAAGTTCTCTGCTTACTTTATTGGTGTTCTGGGTGTGGTTGTACTCTTGGGTGTGTTTGTATGACAGTTTGTAAGTGTGAGTTTGTGGGCTTAGCTGTATGAGGAATTAATGGATAACCATGTAAGGTGGTATGGACTTACGCCTATGATTCTTGCTTATGAGGGCCTCTTGCGGTTCAGGAAATGACAGCATGTATAGATGGGAGATGGTGAGCAGAGGCTTGACAGGTGGGAGAGAAAGTAGGAAGTGATTTCCCATTGACACTCCCTCATATTTTATTTTCCCCTACAGCATTGACCAGGGGTCGCACAATTATCACTAGGCGGCCTCGGTGAAGACCTCAGATTTTTTAGGTGTAAACCTTAGGCTGGAACTCAGTGTCCTGGGTATGTTATATCACATGTAATTTCATGAGGCTATCCAGATGTTGTGGAATTCAGAGCATATTTTAGAGTCAAAACACGAGCCAAGTGTATCCAATCTGGTCACTTCGTAAAGAATTACCGACCACAGCTTCAAACTATTATTACTAGGGAGCAGTGTAATACCACATTGGTATGCTAGGGTAATCTGTGTTGTTTTAACAATGAAAATGTATCTCTTTGGGAAGTTTAGCTGGTGATAGAAGAGTTATAGCAGAGTTTATTTTTATTTTCAGGTTGGGAAAGTACTTTGTGGTTTGGTAGGGGCTAAGTGTGTTGTATAGATTGTGTGTGTGTTTATGTGTATGCACACAGACGTGTAAGAAATTGAGTGCATTTGTGTATGTATGGGTCTGAACATCAGATAGAAAAATGTATTTCAACTGTAAAGTGTGAATGAATGATATGCATTGAATATTTGAAACTGGAACTTTGACTTTCTGTTATATTAAGACAATTTCTGGCTTTCCAGCATTATGAATACACATTGGTGTTCATTTAAAATTTAAGTGTCCTTGCTAGGCACAGAGCTGGTGAGCACTTAACACAATATTGGCACTTAACACAGTGCCACAGTGCCACATTGGCACTTAAATGAGCACTTTACACAATATTGGCTCTGATCCCATGATCTAGATTTTTCCTGAGCCCTGTTTTTGTATGTCACGGGCTAAAACTTCATCTGTAGGCATGACTGCAAAGATATGCAAACAACTCTTAGATAAGTCAGTTATGCAGAGATCTTAGGCATTTTTGCCATTGTCAACTAGGGAGTTACTTTAATGTAGATTTGTTTTTATGAGACTCCTGTTGCAGAAATTTGTCTCCTTTTCCTAAGAAATTGTTCATAAAACTTGGAGACATAAGCCTTTGAATACCTCCTGGCCTTCCTTTTTACTAAAAAAAAGTGAAAGGACTAAGTAGTCATTCTGATTGGGATCTGCACATCACAATGCTGAGGAAGAAAGGAAGCCCTAGGAACCTTCTGGTGGTATCACTTCTTTCAAATACACTTTTGAGTTCTCCTTGCCCAATTGAAAAAAAAATGTGTTCCTTAAATGTTTATATTTTGAAACTTTTCTTTTACAAGGAAATAAATGAAATCATAGCTTGTATATAAGACCCTTTCTTACCCCCGTTCTCAAACCCTCGCCCAGTGGTACCATTACAAGTTAACTTTGGTTTGATTCTGCAGGTATATAACAGAGTTTGTAAACCTAGGCAATGTTTCAGCTCTACGCACTTTCAGGGTACTGAGGGCTTTGAAAACTATTTCGGTAATCCCAGGTAAGATGGCCCGGGGTTGGTGTTAGGTGTTGGGTTAGGGCCCTGACGTGACGTATTGTACTTTTTGTTTTGTTGTGGTTTTGTTTTTTTCCTTTGGTGTTTGTGTTTGTGTCCGTGTTTGTCATTTGTGTCTGTGCGTGACCTCCCTTACTACAGATATGTGACAGAGTTTGTGGACCTGGGCAATGTCTCAGCGCTGAGAACATTCAGGGTTCTGCGAGCTTTGAAAACTATCTCTGTAATTCCAGGTGAGAAAATTTAAACACAAGACTGACTTTGCCTCATCTCCTCTCTCTCCTCCATTCATTTTGTCCACCACGTTCTGAAGCGGCATCAGCACAGCTGATATGGCCTTGCATTCCGCATGTTTGTCCTGGGAGACGTTCCCTGGAATGGCTCTTTGGTCCTTAGCAGTATCTCTGACAGTGCTTGCTAGGCATGCGGCCCCCATTCCATCCATGCTTTGAAAAAGCACGTGCTTAAGAATCACTTGGATCTTACAATATCTGAAAGAATTGTCACGGAGCTAGCTGTCTCTTTGAATATCAGTCACTTGCTTCCTAGCCTCATGGAATTACGGTAATTTTAACGTTCACCATCATTCCATTGCTTACGATTTCTAGGCTTCCTATCGCATGGTTTGCTGATGGGATGTTATTCGAAGAATTGTACTTTTATTGTTACTGTGTTAATGGAATTATTTAATCACAGAAGAGACCTTACCCAGTTAACTAGTCCAGTGTTCCAGACAAATTTAAGAGCCTGAACTTTAATAATCACTGTCTATCACATTCTGTGCTGTCTGTTTCACTAGAATAAGAACCAGTAGACATCTACTACATATATATTGAGAGACCATTCTCAAACATAAATCCCAGTGAAAGCTTATGCAGGTGCTGTTAAAAAAAAAAAGTCGAAGGTAAGATAAGATACGTCTAAACATGTGGGCAAACAAAAAAGTACAGAAACTTCATAAGAAAAAAAAAAAAAAGGAATCCACGGGTGGTTGAGAGGTAGTTGATTGACAGTCTCTCTAAAATTTTTGCCTTTTTTTTTCTTGGTTCTGGTTGAGCTAGCTCAGTGGTTCTTAACCTTTTGAAGGTTTTGGATCCTTTTGAGAATCAGATGAAAGGTCACAGGCACCACCACCCCCACACCAAAGCCCACCTGTGGCCCCCAGGTTGAGATCCACTAATTTAATTCAAATCCTTTCTACCAGGTAATAACTATTTTTCTAAAGACCAGTCTTGAAATCTGGAAGGAAAGATATTTTAGTTAGTCTGCTAACTAAGATATTGTTGGCAGAAATGTGGCAGAAGTCAAGACTACGTTGTTGCTGGTTCGACTCTGCTTATGTTCAGGAGTTTTCAGGGAAGACTCCCGAGAGGCCAGGCTTTCCACTGCAGTTTTGTAGAAACAGGGACATGAAGAACAGAGGCATCCTATTCCTGGCATCACGTGGCTCTTCTCCTTGTGGCTGAACCAAAAATAATTCCTCTTTTCCCCTTTTCAACACGTTATCTAGGTATCTGATGAAGAGAGAGGGAAGCACAGAGGTAGAATCCCAGAGAGGGAAGACTTAGAATGTAGCTTACTGAGAACCTCAGGAAGGTAAACCTCAAGTTTCTCCATTTACAGATTTGGGCTATGAAGCGGGCCAGTAAATTATGGCCCTATTAAAAATGAATTCCAGGGCTTCCCTGGTGGCGCAGTGGTTGAGAGTATGCCTGCCGATGCTGGGGACACGGGTTCGTGCCCCGGTCCGGAAGGATCCCACATGCCGCAGAGCGGCTAGGCCTGTGAGCCATGGCCGCTGAGCCTGCGCGTCCGGAGCTCGTGCTCCGCAACGGGAGAGGCCACAACAGTGAGAGGCCCGCGTACCACAAAAAATAATATAAAGTAAAAAAAATTCCGGGCTTCCTTGGTGGCGCAGTGGTTGAGAGTCCGCCTGCCGATGCAGGGGACGTGGGTGCGAGCCCCGGTCCGGGAAGATCCCACATGCCGCGGAGCGGCTAGGCCCGTGAGCCACAAGTACTGAGCCTGCGCTCTAGACCCCGCAAGCCACAACTACTGAGCCCATGTGCCACGACTACTGAAGCCTGCACGCCTAGAGCCCGTGCTCCGCAATAAGAGAAGCCTCCGCAATGAGAAGCCCGTGCACCGCAACAAAGAGGAGCCCCAGCTCGCCGCAACTAGAGAAAGCCCGCGTGCAGCAACAAAGACCCAATGCAGCCAAAAATAAATAAATTTATTAAAAGAAAAAGAAAAAGAATTCCTTGGGACTTCCCTGGTGGTCCAGTGGCTAAGACTCGGTGCTCCCAGTGCAGGGGGCCTGGGTTTGATCCCTGGTCAGGGAACTAGATCCCGCATGCCACAACTAAGAATTTGCATGCCACAACTAAAAGATCCCATGTGCTGCAACTAAGACCCAGTGCAGCCAAATAAATAAATATTTTTAAAAAATGAATTCCTTTATTTTTAGCAATGGTAGCTTACTGCTTATCAGCCAGAGGCTGGGTGTCAGTTGGAGTATATTCTCCTTGGCAAAAAACTATAACCCTGACTTATCAAGGTTTATTTCCTAGCCATTTCAAATCCGTTTGACAGAAAATTCAGCTCATTCTCTAGGCAGCTTCATGAAGCTTGTTGATGGCAGCCTAACCCTTAGGCAGGCCTTGTCTTATTATTTTTTTTTAAGACATCTGTACCACCAAATCTTTACTTTCATTTTTCCTTTGGTCTCTTTCCTCCTCTGGCCTCTTTTAGATATGATCCCATGTTTTCTGCTCACTTCCCCCAGCGTACTCCGCAAGGCATCTGTCTCTTTATGTTCTTGTGATCTCAAAACTTCTCTTCCAGAATTAAATTGGAAAGCTGCGTTCTGCTCACTAACTAGGGCAGCAGGTGCTGTCTCTGCTCCAGCTCTTAGCCTCTGTCTCTGTCTCTGCTGTATGATTAACTTCTGACCACAGCATTTCTGCAAGATAACTCTTGACTGATGTCACGTAATTTATCCTTATTACTTTAGTTTTATAGATATATATTCATGTCTAGTTTTATATTCTGTATTACAAATATATATTTATAAGCACAGTGCCTGGCCCATAGTAGTCCTCCATAAATGATTCTAGCAGTAGCAATTATAAAGAAGAAACCTAAACCCAAAGAAAGGGTTTGTATGAAGATTTAGACACCAGCTTCACAGTTTGAAATAGATTCCTGGATTCCTATTTCTAGAAGCACCCCGCAACTGAGATGGCTTTGGGAGGCTTTGGAAAATAACTTTAAGGGGTAATAAAGCCAATAATAGATCACTATCAGTGAATGGTATAATTGATACTTGAATTAAAGTGTGACTTTTAATCCCAAGTCCTTTTGCTCCCCATTCTACGTGTAGAGGGCTATTGCCTTGTTCCTACCTGCCTGTTACCCAGGTCTCCTTCCCAGGTGGTAACACCAGTGTATGAGGCAGTAGACCTGGGCCTTCTCTTGACTGGAAATCTAAGTCATTTTGATTCCACAGTTACAGAGTTGGGCCATAGTTCCCTCTGAGTAAAAGCCATTGCTTTGGGTACCAAGTTTTCTCATAGGCCACTTCAGTGGAATTGTTGCTTTCTTTTGCCTTTTCCTGCTCCCGGTTTGATGATCGGCTTTTTGTTTTTTTTTTAACATCTTTATTGGAGTATAATTGCTTTACAATGGTGTGTTAGTTTCTGCCTTATAACAAAG